GGAAACATTTCTCTACAAAATACATAGTCGAATGACAAAATAACGTCAAAAATGATGGAACGGTATGTGCTTCTTTGAACGGTTCCAGAAAATTATTTTTGGAACCGTGCAGGGCTCTAGTGACCGTGCGTATATGTGTGAGTTAGGGCATTCCCATCGAGTTTATCTGGTCTGTGTCGTTTTCCGTCTGTTTTGGTCTGTTTACTTGTCTGCCCCGCTTTCTTTGTTTGTTTGTTTCTTTGTTTGTTTCATTTGTTGGTCTCATTGTATCGTTTATGTCTCTTGTCTTTGGTTTTCGTCTTTTCCGCTTCTGTTCTCGTACCTAGTCGCCTTTGTCAGCCTCTCGTGATGGCGGTGCTGTCGTCTTCTGAGTGTGTAGGTTGGTTTGTTTATGTTTTTGTTCTGTTTTATATATATACTAGTTTCCTTCCTTTTTCTTGTTTCTTGCTTGTTTGTTTTACTTCTCTTCGTGTTTATGTCTCCTTGTCTGTTTGTCTGCTACTCGCGCGATCCCCAGAAAATTTTTTAACATGTATGTCTTAAAAGGCCTACGGGCATTAACTCCCCACTTAGCATAATAAAAAAAAAAAAAAAAAAAAATTCACTCTACTATTATAAGGACAAAACATGGTGTTGTTCGGGTCATATGAAAGAGAGTCCCTACAAACCCCATAATCGGCCCGAACAACACTATGTTTTGTCCTTACAATAGTGGAGAAAATCTTTTCTGAATCGTTTTCATACCTAAATTTCACATACCTTGAAATTTAAATAACTCGCTCTAGGCACGCCAATGGCCGCTCATGTTTTAAATTTGTTAGTTTCTCGGTGAGAGTGATCATTTGACCCGAACATGGTCATTCAATTTAACTTACAGTACATGCCCTCCATTGTTAGAAATATTTCTTTTAATCAATTAAATTAATTGAATCTTTCTAGATACCAAAGCTACGAGATTTTAGTTTAAAAACTTTCATTGAAGATGATTTTGACTTTATCTATTTGAAATGGCTTCTTAACAATTTAAATTATATTGAAAAACTTCAACTTCATATTAAAAATGATAAACTAACCGAAACAAGATGTCAAAATATATGGAAATCTTTGATTGATGCAAATTTCATTCGTCAATATTGTTTACCTGATATAATAGATAATTTAATTTATTTCAATTTTTATATTTGTTCTGAATGTCAATTATCATTTAATGATATCTCGAGAATAATAAATTCATTTAAAATTCATTCTTTTTTTATTGAACATCAATGGACAAATGTCAAATGTTTATTTGATCCAATTATGTCATGTCTACATATTTTTTCTTCTTTTAGTAATACATTTCAATCTTCTGATAGTTTGATGTCAGTTATTATTTATTAGAAAATTTCAAAAAACTTCTTAGCTAAATGAAAAATTTTTTCTTTTAGTAATTATTGCTATATTTTCAATTGGGCAGCTTTTCACTATCAATGATTTAGTTTACATCCATCACTTCATCTTTTTTTGGAACAATTTAATGAATTATATTCGAATGTTTCTTATATCAACATATATAAAAGTAAATTATTTTGTCATCAAGATAATTTTTTAAATAAATAAAAGAGTAAAGAGATAACAACAATGAGTATACGTATAGAATTTGATAAGATATTTCTAAAGCAAAACCTAGAGAAAACAAATATTTTTATCGAAACAATTATAAAAGGAAAGACATATCTTCGTGAATATTTATTTCTCTTCTATTCAATTCAATCTAATAGAAAAATAGTTAAATTATATTTAAAGTAAATAAGAATATCGTTTTTTCTAGAATGTATCAATGATTTTCAAAAATCTGATCTTGAAATATCATTAAAAATTTTATCCAAGATGAGGCTAAACAAGAAAATTGATATTCCTTTTCGAAATCTTACAAAAATTCAATTTGGACCGCCTTTGGATCGAAAATGTGGTTAGTACTAATTTTTGTTTTTTTTCTTTGTGCATAGATTTGAAACAAAAAAAAAGCTTATTTCTCATTTATATACTGGGTGTGCCAAAACTTTTGCAACATTCTTTATTTTGCCTACATCTCGATTTGACAAAATGATTAAATCTTGATCTTTTCTTTTCAAAAGATACAGTGTGAAAAGCTATCCAAAAAATATGTAAGAAAATGTTTATTAACTGGTTCGAACGGTTTTCTCGTTGTCATTATTAACAACCTATATGGTACTGCGCTTGCCCAATGTAATCGAAGGAAAAATCTTTTCAAATTAAATGAGGGATAACAGGACTATCGGTCAATTGTCCTTCTTGAGTTTAAAAAAAAACTATAATTAATGAGTTTATCTGTACTTATTTTGTAGTTATTTCGACGGTACATCTTGTCAAATGAAAATTTATATTCTATTATTTTTGGAAGCTAGAAGATTTTCAAAACAAAA